CGCGAAAGCATAATTTCGCCAATTTTCCATCAAATTTCGTACTTTTTGTTTTATTACCTTCACAAAAAGATTCTCTACCATTTCATAAGAAAAAATAACAAATTTTTTTTTTGAAAATTCTTGGACACTGGGGCACCACTTCAGATTTGGGCCTTGGACCCTGAAGGGGTTAAAAGGACACAAGTACAACTAATGTGACATTTTATTGTGGCAATGTTTTGCTCTCCAGGAGCTTTATCAAGCTGTTACAAACAATACATAGACACAGAGGGTATATATAGGCTTAGAGTGAGGTATAATACTAGTGGTAGTAGCAGTAGTAATATTAGTTGTAGTAGTAATATATGTGGCTGAACAATCAACTTGCACATGAGTAAAAGGTTATAAAAGCTGTTACTTGCGTAGCATAAAAATGGGTCAGACAAAAATTTCTGTTAGTGGTTGGCTTTGAGAAGGCCTGCTTCAGTGTTCCTCCTCTGATATGCTCTTGTATAGTATTAGCAGCAGTGACTGTGTGATGGCAGGGTTTGTTTTGAGTAGGGTTTTTGCTAATACTTTTTGCTATTACTTCAGAGATAATGAAGCTGCCTTTATTTTGCTTGATTGTGTTACAACGATTAAAGATGATTCAAGGCATTTACATCTGCAGAAATTAGGCTCCCTGATCACGTCAGGTGTAGTTGAATTTCATGAGGCGATTGGGGGAATTCCGGTGTTGTACGCAGGCATTGTTCAAGTTATCGTTCTGACATGCGTTAATGTGTTCACTGAGACGTGTTTCAAGGTTCCTTGCCGTTTCACCTACATATATTCTGTCGCATTGACTGGTTCATGGTGGTTCAATTTTGTCCTGGTTAGATCCTTTATGGAAGTGCTGGATACGATGGCGACTCTTATTGTTAATTTGTGCGAATACTTTGAAAATGTTCAATGCAACCTGGGAAGGATTATAACTTTGTTAGGAGTGATGCTGGTGCACAGAGAATTAATGATCCAAAGACCTCTTTTCTTGCAGTCTTTGACGAAAAAGGACACACATAATGTAGATCAGTGAAGGTTTGGTGTATGTAAGTACATTCCTAGTCAAGAAACTCAGGACTACAAATTTGTTACGTTCTTAGGAAAAATCCAATGATGATGCCTCTTTTGGTCTTTGTATCTTGACTGGAATAGAAGTGGGTGAGATCATTTTTGTTTGTAGGTTACAGTAAATTTGAAACCTTAGATTATCTACTTTGTGAATGAGGATGTCTAAAAGAGGTAACTTGTCATTGGGCAAGGCTCAACGGTGTTGAGCCTTGCCTGAAAATTCTACACATAAAAACATTTGGGAGTTAATATGAGGACGTCATCCACATAACATAACCAAGTGACGCTGGTGGGGATGATGATGATACAACATCGGAATTCCACCAATCACTTCATGAAATTCAACGACACCTGATTAGTGATCAGAGAACCTAATTCTGTAGATGTAAATGCCTTGAATCATCTTTAATTGCTGTTTCTAACACAAGTAAAATAAAGGCAGCTTCATCATCTCTGAAGTATTAGCAAAAATCCTCCTCAAAATGATAAACCCTGCCATCACGTAGTCGCTGCTGCTAATACTACACAAGAACATATCAGAGGAGGAACACTAAAACAGGCCTTCTTAAATCCAATCACTAACAGAAATATTTGTCTAACCTATTTTTATGCTGCCCAAGTAATAGTTTTTATAACCTTTTACTCATGTGCAAGTTGATTGTTCTACCACATGTATTACTACTACTACTACTACAATTAATATTAATACTGCTACTACCACTAGTTTTACACCTCACTCTAAGCCTATATATACCCTCTGTGTCCATCTATTGTTTGTATCAGCTTGATAAAGCTCCTGGAGAGCGAAATGCTGTCACAATAAAATGTCACATTAGTTGCACTAGTGTCCTTTTACCTAACATATTGTCTGTAATTCTACCAACTTTAATACATTAGACCAAAGGTGCTGAGAGGTGGGGTAATACACAATCATCAGACAAAAGAAAGTGTGGTAGACCAAAGGGGAGACAAAAAGTCAATGAATTTCACACATTGATGTTTGAGGAAGGTAATACATGTTAATTTCTGCACTACAAATTCTCTGCCTAACATTCATGTATTCTTTGACTCACCCTCCTTGTGAAATATTTAAAATCCATGCCTTACCATGACAGGGTGACCCCCCAAAAAAAGATGAAACACACTCACCACCTTTCACTTAATAGCTGTCTTGCCAGAAGCAAGAAGACATCACAATTCAAATGACTGCCCCTCCTTCAGAGGGACTCAAATGTGACCTTACTAACATTCTGACAAAACACGGCATAAATATCACTTATCTCCATTCACTCCAATCTAAATACCCAAACCCCTTCATCAACCCCCCCCCCCCCCTCCACCCTCAGAACAGTACTTTTGGTAAACCCCATACCATCTTCTAATTTCTATGCTCAGAATTTTCTGCTTAACCCTCTGACTGTTGCAACCCCAAATCCTGAGGTGTCTCCTGGTGTCGCAAAATATTTAAAAAAAAAAAAAAATTTCTTAGGAAATGATAGAAAATCTTTTCCCGTTGGTAATGCACCAAAAGTATGAAATTTGATGGAAAACTTACAGAATTATGCTCTCGCAAAGTTAGCAATCTCAGCGACATTTACGCATCGGCGATTCTGCCCACTTTGAGCCCTATTTTCGGTCAATTCCACTGTTCCAGTCCACCAAACTCATAGCTATTTCTTTAGAATTCCATTTGTTCTATCAATTGAATACAAGAAACTGCTCATATACCGATTTCAACTACCCAATAAAGTGGTCAGAAATTGGCAATTTGGCCAATTTCATGCACATTAAAAAATATCAATTTCAAAATAGGGTCCAGAATGAACAATGCAGATATTCCTGGTTCGAAAATAACATTTTCTCTCTTCATCAGTCACGTCTCCAGGCCCCTGTTATAATCATCTTGCTTTCTATTTTGAATTTTTATTCACACAAAAAATAGAAGATTTACTGTTATGCAGACTACTGCAATATTGTAATAATTGTATAAATAACTTCAACCCATTCGTGACTGCATATTAGAATGGCTAGTTGGACATTTATTGGACAATGACGTCATTTGCTTACTCTCGAACATTTCTGCCACTTGGAGCTCCATTTCAAGATCCTTTTCATAGTAAAACCAATCAAAATCACTTCTATTTCTATAATATGTCTTTCATTATATCAAATGAGACCAAGAAAACAAGAATACAACCTTAAATACTATACGAAAATACACCTCAAAGTCGGCGTTTTAATCCAAAAGCACGGTCGGAGTTTTTTTTTTCTCATGCACTGCGTGCTGCATGATTTTTTTTTATACTGACCACACAGACCCATTCTCTCATATGTGGGCCTACCAGCTTTCTCCTGCTTGATTTAAAGCTGCTAGAATTTTTGAGTATATATACGTCAAACATACTGGCTCGTAAGACGTATATATACGACTAAAACAGTCAAAGGGTTAACATTCACACATATTCCCTTCCCTCAAACATGACATCTTCACTGCCTCAGCCTCCAACCTCCTCCTGGCTGCAGCATTTAAAGCCCATGCCTCAAACTCAAATAAGTGTTGGTACAACTAATGTGACATTCTATTGTGGCAACATTTCACTCTCCAGGAGCTTGACCAAGCTCCTGGAGAGTGAAACGTTGCCACAATAAAATGTCACATTAGTTGCACTTGTGTCCTTCTACTTTACACAGAAACAGTGTTGGTAAAACTAACACAATCCTCTTTTTCTCACAGATGTCTCAACACACTACCCACCTTTCCCCCATCTCTTTATTCTTAGCAAGCTTTAATAATTAATAATATCCATAATTAGCTTTAATTAGTCACAGCTATTCTCAACAGTGAGGCAATGCATGATGTCTTTCACTAAAATATTTAAGGATAGAGATACAATTTTAATGTTTATGCCTAATTCCAGAATCCTTAAAGTGAAATAATTGTTCCATATGAAAATTTTCAGTACATTTTTGCCTGGGTGAGTTATTCAGTACGTAGTAATAGAGACACAGGGTATCACAGGGAAAGGATCCTCTTGACTATAAATACGTTTACGGTTCGAATAAGTATTTCAAGGAAGAAAATACTGGCAAGCTTTAAAATCTGCTGCTAATGTTTAATATGTAAATGGAGCATCTGTATATAACCCAATAAAGAGCACTGCTCTGCCAGCAGGAAACTGAATAGGTCCTTTTAACAGTACACCTAGTCCTTTGAGGTCAAAGAGATTGACTACTGTACATATGCAACAGATATTACTAATAAACTGGATGCATAAAATAATTCCCACAATAAAGTTTTAACATGTTCAGTGGCACTTGAAGATAAATTGCTTTACGGTTCAACACTGAATTGGTCACTATCAATGATCCTAAGAAGTGTAGACAAGAGAAATCTATGAAACAGAATGTTACAATTTACTACAAACCATTTCATTTTTCTTCCAAATATAGGCTATGGATAATTTAACGCATTCTTTTTTCCAGCAAACATTAGCTTATGACATAGAGCTTATAGCCACACAACTCCAGCAATATAAGGGAGCAGACTGGACTGGGAAGCCAAATGTAACTCCATACCAAGTAATAATGAGAATATACTAGACTGGGCCCCAGCTATATAGCCCCATACCTCCAATAATTATGAAGTAGACCGGGGAGCTATCTACTCTACAGCCCTACATCTCCAGAAATAATGAAATAGATTGGGGAGTCGTATAGTAGCCCCACATTTCCAGTAATAATGAAATAGACTGGGAAGCCATCTAGTACCCCCACATCTCCAGTAATAATGAAGCAGACTGGACTGGGGAGCCATCTAGTCTAACTTTTCCTCACTTTCACAGAGCCTGGGGCACTACACTTCCTCAGACTCCATGAAAGTGGGAAATAAGGAAACAATAATCATTTGCTAGTGATTCTAAAATTATTGTATTGTCTATATCAATCTTTACATTTAGCCACCACACTAGACAATCTTATACTACAGCAACAGCTTTAAGATTACAGTAGTCTTGAGTTTAACCTTTTTCCTTATTAGAATATGAAAAAAGCATGGTTACAAGGTTTGCGAGCGAGTTGAAGTTCGGATTAGTTACCCTGAGGATTAATAACCATAGTAACCCAAGCAGAGTGGCTTATTTCTACTGGGGCCTTTTTTCTAGGTCTTTCTCCAGGATGCAACCCACAAAAATTTGCTAACTTCTAGATATCTGTTGCTATGTAACAGGAGAAGCATACATTTCACCTGTGTAGGGTTCAACCCAGGTACTTTTGGTTGAGAGCTCGAAGAACAACTGAGCTACAAGGTCATCACATAAGCACCAACCAAAAAAGGATAATGGTTATTGTATTACTCTACGTTTCCCTCAATATGAAGTTTTTGGATATTAATCTTTTTAAAAATAGAAGATCCAAAATGTAACTATCTTATTCATAATCCAGAGATCAATGTTAAAAGAAAATATCACAAAAACTAAATACAATTTATACACAAAATTAATACATGGTTTTAAAATTGTCATATTTATATAAACATATATTAAAATATTGTTTCCATAAATAAGTTCAAACAATGGAATGATTATATTGTGAAGATCAGCCTACTAAATGCTCATACTGTGAATAAAAAACTGTACTTTTTATGGATTTAACAGAAAAGTATAACTTTGATTAAGTTATTTATAAAAATGGAATGTTCAGTTTAATATGCCATGGTAAATATATGTATAAACCATACTATTGCTGGGTCAGAACTTTAATTAAAAGTGGAATACCAACTAGGATAAATGTTTTGTCCAATATGCTGCAACACACTAACTATGGTTGCATTGACACAATGCCAATCTTCATGCCTGAACATCAAGTAGTTAAAGGTTTTAATTAAAAATCAAAGGGTTAACTAAAAAATCTGACCAGAATACAATTGCAATGGATTATACAAAACATGAAACACTGCAAATATTAGTGATAACTTCCACAATATGGCAAAATCCATTTCTCACATCACACACTCAAAGGTTTGTAGAAGCAGACTAGGTACTAAAATAGCAGGTCATTTACATTACTAAAAACAAATATTTTAAGGGAGGTAAATAAACATGCAGCCCCTGACATGCAAAACTCTGTTCTTGGGTAGCAGGGCTATATATGTAGGGCAGGCAGGCAGTGGAGTCAGAGTGAAGGTGACAGGAGTGAGCCTATCAGTGGTACACAAAGCCATAAGTCACACCTGGCTCCTGGTCTTTCCCACAATACAGAGCTAGGATCACACACACACACACACACACACACACACATGATTACATACTTAACTCATATACTTAGTACAGTGGAACCTCAGTACTCAAACAGCACCCTACTCTAACAATTCGGTATTCGAACGCTTTGTTCGGTAAAAAAATCACTTGGTAGTCAACCGTTTGCTCGGCCCATGACCTGCCAGAACTTTGCTGCAGACTTTTGTGTTTATTCACATTTTTTGGTGTTTTTTTATATTTGTATAAATAAGTCACCATGGGGCCTAAGAAGATTAGTGATAACAGCCAACCAAAAGAAAATTGGTTGGGAAAAATTTGTTCAGTACTCGAACAGATTGGCACTCAAACAGCCTTCTGGAACAAATTAAATTTGAGTACCGAGGTACTCTTGTATACAGTCCATCACTGAACTTCATAAAATTCTTTAACTTAAAATCAACCTACATAAATTCCCAAACAACATGTCACAAAACTTTACAAACTTAATTTTGTGGAGACCGTGACTATTATTTACTAACCTTATATTTTTATGATATTTAAATATCAAACAAATTTAAAATATTTTATAAGCAAAGAAATATTTTATTTACAAGTACTAATACTAAAACATCATGAAGAGAACGTGACCAGTAAAGAGACTTAGTCACTAACTCAAGAAAAAAGCTGAAAGTAAAAAATACACTTCCACATATCTGTGGTGAAAATATATAATATGTCTATGACTTATTATTTATCATTCATGTGTATTTATATGAAAAGCCATGAAAGAACAATAAAATTACAAAGGAAGGATATTTACACACAGAGATACAGGCAGGTAAACAAATAATTGTGGCAGAAATTCATAAATAAAATAGTTGCACAAAATAAATCATCGCTTGTTTATAAACTCTTAAATGAAGCAAAACAAATAAATATTTTATAGCCAAGTTATATAAAATTAAATATTTTTATTTTTTTTACATTAAGTTTGATACATTTATTTCCATGTTTGTACCCACACACAATATATTGACCAAGACTACCACCAGCCTACCACTGAGTGCCCCAGGTATAACATTTGTCAGAAGACAGCAGTAATCCGTGTGATCAATTTTGTCAAGGTAATATAGACAGTAAGGAAGCCACACTGCTCCATCCTACACTGGGAGAGTCACTAAGCTCTGCTTTCTCTTAACATCTAGTGAAAACACAGGGTTGTATTAAATAATTTTATAATCGGCTAACTTATGGTAGTCTAGCTAAACAATTACATCTTAGGATGAGTTAGTAGGTCCAAACATCAAGCAACTTCTGGACTTATCGTATCAAGAAATAGTAGATGTAGATTACAGATGTACTTCCTTATTAGTGGATATAAGGTAGTAAACCTTGCCATACCATGGCCCAATTAGTAGTCTAGATAATAAACTACCTTATTCAAACAGGTTAGGTTACAATGCTGCATAACTTCTCTTTCATGTAGAAAAATATTTAATTTGAAGGATAATGTTATGACTCATTATATACTGATGGCCAAATACATATGCAGAATATGTTGTAGATAAGCAAGTCAACTGCTGGAGGAAACCTATAATTACTACACAGCATGGCTTCAGGGCTTATAATTGAACAAAACTATAATCTATACTGTATTACCAATATTTTACAAAACTTGGGAAGAAGACCATATTTTAAGGCAACTGCAGTAGTAATTTTCTTTCCATGCTGTTAAGAGTGACATAAGACAGTTTATGTTAATGAATGAGTTAAACAAGTTTTCCTAGTTACAAAAAAAAAAAGAAAATGATAATGTCAATTTACACTTCACTATCCCTTACTACACACTATATATATATTAGTAGTGATTATATGAACTACTACTTGCCTCTAATAATGATAACAGTTATTTTCTCACTAAGGCAGGATAACCCAAAGAAGAAAACATTCTCCATCAATCACTTGAAAGTAATTTATTCAAAAGTAAAAGGTCATCACAATTCAATGAGCCACCGAGTTGCACCATTCCTTCACAGTACAAACACCGTACTTAGGCATCTCTGGAAAACAGGTTTCGTTGAATCCCTGCACAAATATTACCTTGATAGTACTTCTAAAATGTATCATCATACACTCCTTTCATTCCATCCTGGGATGCTCCCTGCACCTTCAGCAAGTCGGCATAACCAAGCCTTCTCAATAACCCCACTCTAGCTTCTTGAATTATATCTTTCAAATCACCACACTGTCTTATGTCTTCACTGTATAGTCTCTGCCTCATAATCACATCAAACCATTCCATGACATAACTTTTTATAGGACTGTAATACTGATTAAGCTTGTGACATCTGTGCTTTATCCGGTTAAAAAATCTCCAGGTCATGAAGTCACCACCTGTGTTGTGAGGATCTCAATGAGCAGCTGTCTTAATGCCACTCTTGTACACATCTGAGACAACAAGCCTAACTGCAGCAGCCTTCCCTGCTCTACATTCTTTTATAACATTTTAATGCTCACTTATCTGTTTCTTCACAGAAAATTAATAAATATAACCAGTGTTATGCTACTTTGGCCGACATAATTTAATATACACTGAGTACTTACACGTACATCACAATATCCCCATGGGGCACCTCAAGGCTGCAATATTCCACGTGCAATAAGGGAATCTTGCAACATATTGTAAAGCTGAAGCTGTTGTTCTGGTTTCAACATATAAACCTGCCAGATGCAAATAAAATACTGTAACATTAACATAATTCAGTCTTCAAAAGTTTATCTAAAATAAATAGTGTTAGTCCACATTTAATCATTTTCTAGTACAAATACTTCACGCACTTTGATACACTTCTATACGTATAAAAAAAAAAATCTGCAAAATCTAGATCTGTTCTGGTCACTGAGCTGTGGAAGGAAATTTTTAAATGTGAAGACTATGTTGAAGTGGTAGATCATTCAGCAATCTTGGCAAATGAAGGATAAACAATACATATAAGAACACCCAAGGCAAAATTAAGCATAAAAATTATTAGCACAAACAAAACACACACCACAAGTACTGTAGACAACCATCTTTCATGCAAGATGAATCCCAGAAAAAGTAAACTCCTGTATATGTGAAAATGTGATGGGTGGAGTGAACAGCTTAGGGGAAAAAACTGGGATAGTGGTATGACAACTTGAGAAAAGCCCAATGAAATTTTTTTAAATTAAAAAATCATCAATATTAACCCTATGACTGTCGCAAGCCCCTTTCTGAAACTGTTATTCAAATTTTTGTAAAAAAAAAAAAATTATTTTTTTCTTATGAAATGATAGAGAATCTTTTCCCGATGGTAATGACACCAAAAGTACGAAATTTGGTCGAAAATTCAGGAAATTACGCTCCCGCAAAGTTAGCAGTCTCGGTGACATATATGCATCGGCGATTTCGCTGACTTTGAGCCCTGTTTTTGGCCAATTCCGTTGTTCCAGTTGACTAAACTCATAGCTATTTCTTTAGAACTCCATTTTTTCTATCAGTTGAGTACAAGAGACTGCCCATTTACCAATTTGAACTACCCAATAAAGTGGTCAGAAATTGGCAATCTGGCCAATTTCACGCAAATTAAAAAAGATGCCAATTTCAAAATAGGGTCCTAAATAAACAATGTAGACATTCTTGGCACCAAAATAACATATCCTCTGTTCATTAGTCACATCTCTAGGCCCCTCTTATATTACTATTGCTTTAGTAAGTAAGTAAGTAAGTAAATTTATTCAGGTATACACAAATACAGTTACATAGAATTATCATACATAGCAGCATATGTGTAGAGAACCTAGGATAACCCAAAAAAGTCAGACAGAGTGACTTATTTCCATTGGGGTCCTTTTTATTTTTTATTCATACAAAATTTACTGTTATGCAGACTACTGCATTATTGTAAAAATGGTATAAATAATATCAGTACACCAGTGAAAGAATATTAGACTCCCCAGTTGACGTGTATTGGATGTGTGGTGTGATCTGCTTACTCCTGAACATTGGTAAGAATCGAACATTCCCGCTACTTTGAGCTAAATTTCAAGGTCGTTTTCATCGTGAAACTAATCAAAATCATCTCTATTTCTGTAATATGTATTCCATTTTATCTCCTGAGACCATGAAAACGAGAATACAACGATAAATACTATATGAAAATACACCACAAAATCAGTGTTTTAATCCAAAAAAAAAGTTTTTTTTTTTTCTCATTACACACTGCATGCTACAGGATTTTTTTTATGTGGTGCACACTGACCACACAGACCTATTCTCTCACATGTGGGCCTACGAGCTTTCTCCTGCTTGATTTGAAGCCGCTAGAATTTACACATATAAGTACATCTGAAACAGTGGTGCGTAAGACGTATGTGTACGACCAAAGCAGTCAAAGGGGTAATAATGTTTTAAACGATTTACATTGTAACTTTTGTTTCGTGTTGATCTAGAAAGTTGTTGATAGGGTTAATGTTGCTCTACCATGCCTAGTTACATGTAGTGAGCTTTAAACCCTCAAACATGTACAGTGTTTAACTCAAACAGGTTATCCATGGTTAAATTTGTATATTGTACAGTGGAACCTCGATTTTCGTAATTAATTCGTTCCAGAAAGTCTGACAAAAATCGAATTCAGATGAAAACTGAAGCAATATTTCCCCATGAGAAATAATGTAAATCCAATTAATCCATTCCAGACACCTAAAAGTATTTTTTTTTTTATTATCACACCGGCCGATTCCCACCAAGGCAGGGTGGCCCGAAAAAGAAAAACTTTCACCATCATTCACTCCATCACTGTCTTGCCAGAAGGGTGCTTTACACTACAGTTTTTAAACTGCAACATTAACACACCCTCCTTCAGAGTGCAGGCACTGTACTTCCCATCTCCAGGACTCAAGTCCGGCCTGCCGGTTTCCTGAATCCCTTCATAAATGTTACTTTGCTCACACTCCAACAGCACGTCAAGTATTAAAACCATTTGTCTCCATTCACTCCTATCAAACGCTCACGCATGCCTGCTGGAAGTCCAAGCCCCTCGCACACAAAACCTCCTTTACCCCCTCCTCCAACCCTTCCTAGGCCGACCCTACCCCGCCTTCCTTCCACTACAGACTGATACACTCTTGAAGTCATTCTGTTTCGCTCCATTCTCTCTACATGTCCGAACCACCTCAACAACACTTCCTCAGCCCTCTGGACAACAGTTTTGGTAATCCCGCACCTCCTCCTAACTTCCAAACTACGAATTCTCTGCATTATATTCACACCACACATTGCCCTCAGACATGACATCTCCACTGCCTCCAGCCTTCTCCTCGCTGCAACATTCATCACCCACGCTTCACACCCATATAAGAGCGTTGGTAAAACTATACTCTCATACATTCCCCTCTTTGCCTCCAAGGACAAAGTTCTTTGTTTCCACAGACTCCTAAGTGCACCACTCACTCTTTTTCCCTCATCAATTCTATGATTCACCTCATCTTTCATAGACCCATCCGCTGACACGTCCACTCCCAAATATCTGAATACGTTCACCTCCTCCATACTCTCTCCCTCCAATCTGATATTCAATCTTTCATCACCTAATCTTTTTGTTATCCTCATAACCTTACTCTTTCCTGTATTCACCTTTAATTTTCTTCTTTTGCACACCCTACCAAATTCATCCACCAATCTCTGCAACTTCTCTTCAGAATCTCCCAAGAGCACAGTGTCATCAGCAAAGAGCAGCTGTGACAACTCCCACTTTGTGTGTGATTCTTTATCTTTTAACTCCACGCCTCTTGCCAAAACCCTCGCATTTACTTCTCTTACAACCCCATCTATAAATATATTAAACAACCACGGTGACATCACACATCCTTGTCTAAGGCCTACTTTTACTGGGAAAAAAATTTCCCTCTTTCCTACATACTCTAACTGAGCCTCACTATCCTCGTAAAAACTCTTCACTGCTTTCAGTAACCTACCTCCTACACCATACACTTGCAACATCTGCCACATTGCCCCCCTATCCACCCTGTCATACGCCTTTTCCAAATCCATAAATGCACAAGACCTCTTTAGCCTTATCTAAATACTGTTCACTTATATGTTTCACTGTAAACACTGGTCCACACACCCCCTACCTTCCTAAAGCCTCTTGTTCATCTGCTATCCTATTCTCCGTCTACTCTTAATTTTTCAATTTTAACTCTACCATACACTTTACCAGGTACACTCAACAGACTTATCCCCCTATAATTTTTGCACTCTCTTTTATCCCCTTTGCCTTTATACAAAGGAACTATGCATGCTCTCTGCCAATCCCTAGGTACCTTACCCTCTTCCATACATTTATTAAATAATTGCACCAACCACTCCAAAGTATTAACAAAAAATACATTTTATAGAGAATAACTATAGTTTTACATTGAGAAATAAATATAAAGGACTAATGAAATGGATAAATGAACATTTAACATCACTTTTCCTTTATTGAAGACTCTTGTTAGCATACGGCGAGGAGGGGAGAGGGAGGAGAGGTTATCTCCACTTCCACCCTCTACCGACGAGAAACAAAGCCAGACTGACTCAGAACGTGTGGGATGCTTTGTGTGGGCGTGGTGGGCATGTTTGGTACAGCAGACCACTGTCAACTTGACAAAAACTAAGGTGATGAACGAAAACTGGGACAAAATTTTGACGAAAAAAGTCATCGAAAACCAAATTCGATGAAAACCAGGACAAACAAAAACCGAGGTTCCATTGTACTTTTTATGTGCCCATAATGTACAACATCAAGACTACTGTAAAAAAAAAAATGTAGGCTATGTATCCAAAATCTAAATAACTTTAGTCAAGCTCTGGAGGAAGGCATGTGCTCATCACAGTTATCATGTATTACGTAGAAAATGGGCACGCACGTCTTCCAGAGAAAATTAATATTGCTAGTACAATAACGGGCTATTATTTCTAATATTATTCCTTTAAAAGCTTACCTGTATTGAGCACTTAATATATGATAGAGTAAACACATTTCAGGTGTTCTAGATGCATCTGATAATGAAAAAATGGTCATTTTGCTCTTTTTCCACCTGCCAGCAATTTTCATTTACTGTATGAGGTTGTGAACCCAAGAGTGTGGTGGCGGCGGCGGTGGAGGACAAGAATAGAAAGGGGAAGTGAAGGGAGGCCAAAGGTGAAGGTAGGGGCTAAAGGAGGAGGGGGTACAGGCAGCAGTGGCAGTGAAAGAGGAGCACTGCAGAAGAGCTAGGGACCCACAAGGGGTAAGACCAAACACACAGGGAAGGGGGGAGAAAGTGAAGGACAGAACACCCTAGGCAGAAGAAAGGAAACCCAAAACAAGAAAAAGGTAAAATAGGAAAGGAGAAGAGGTAGAGAGGAGGAGAAAAAAAATCAAGTCAAGTCACGTGTGTTCTGAAGTCTGGAACATTTGACAACGTAATGGTAAAGGAAGGTATCTACCAAGACAAAGCCAGGACTAAGATTCAAACAGGGATAGTCGAGTATAAAGGATGATTCAACAAGATGGAATCATCCCTCATACTCAACTTTCCTTGTATGAATCCTAGTCCTGGCTTTGTCTCTGTAGATGCCTTCCATTACCATTACACTGTCAAATGCTCCCAACTTCAGAACACACATAGACTTAACCTGATTCTTTTTTCTCCTCCTCCTCCTCTCTACCTCTTCTCCTTTCCTATTTTACCTTTTTCTTGTTTTGTCTTTGATTTCTTCTGCCTTGGGTGTTCTGTCCTTGACTTCCTCCCCCCTTCCCTGTGTTTTTTTGGTCATACCCCTTGTGGGCTCTTAGCTCTACTGTAGTGATCCTCTTTCTTGTTCTTTGACTGACCCCACTACTACTACTACTTCCTCTCCTACTACCTTTGCCCCCTACCTTCACTTTTGCCTCCCTTCACCCTTCACTACTCCTCTCTATTCTTGTCCCACCAACCACAATCCCTACTTTGTACTACCACTACTACTTCTACTACTACCACTACCCGCCTTACACTACCACTACTACTCTTCCTACCTCTCTTGTACCATCTCTACCAGCTGGCCTATATATATTGGTTCCTCCTCTCTTTTCTGTTAGTGTGACTTTGTAAATGGTCAAAGTTAGACCGAAATGTCGTTGTAAGCTCCTCTATCCTAAGCACAGGTTATCTAAGTATTGTATCCTGAAGGACCATACACTGCTTTCTAGCAAACTTAGTCATCTTTGGCTGCTAGAAGTTCCTCACAGTTAACATCCTGAAGGAATTCATATTGCTTCCTAATAATCCAGGTTATATTTTCATACTGAGCTCATAGCTTTATTCCATTTGTTTTACTAACTCAGTGAGTTAATAAAACAACTATTTCTGCCTAATATTGGTTAAGATATCACCTGACATGAATGGCAAAGCTGTCATATTCTAAACTGCTTTATTTTCCACATATTAATAATGAACTGATTCTTTCATATCTTGATATAATGGTCACTTGGATAAATATTAAATAAAAGAAATTCAGGAAACTGTGTGCAATGAGTATAAATTGAAAAAAAAAAAAAAAAAAAAAAAAAAAAAGAGCAATGAGTAAGATTTGTAGACCACCAGAATGACTAGGTTTGTTAGTCCTACAAACACTAACAGGACTCGATTCCTATAAACACCACCAGGACTCATTTGTGAATCCTACAAACACCAACAGGACTCGTTTGAGTCCTACAAACACCGAAATGATTCATTTGCGAGTCTTGCAAATACTACCAGGACTCGTTTGTGAGTCCTACAAACACCACCAGAATAACTGCAATATATGAAAGTTATGTTGACCACTAGAATGACTGACATGAAGGTCAGTCACATGCTTCTCAACTCAAAATTTGAAGCCGACATCCATGAATTAAAACACCTGACAAAATTCATTACTAAAACTAAAATGGTTCCTGAGTAACATACAGTGAATTACCCTGAGGAGAAAAAATTATTTCTCCAACCCAGGGACATGGATGTCCCCTGGGATTTGAGAACTCTCTCTTTCACTTTCTTTTGCTAAGGGCACAAAAGGATACACGGGACAAAGGGCAACTCTGGCTTGCCATTAGCAAGATGGGGAGGGTAATATTTCTTGCAAACATTGAAGACCGTATAATCTCACTCTAATTTAAAACTGCTTAGATAGGCTGCAATGTCTGCATACCATGTCCCTCCAGGAGGAGACCTATCCACATTGGAACATTGTTTATCTAATCCGTTAAAAAAAATATTTCCAAAATATTTTACATAACCACAATACAATAATTTGAAAAGCCCACAGAATGCAAATAATTTTCAATATAATTTGGAAAGATCATAAAATGTACAACTGCACAATAAACTGAAAATCCAATAGTATGCAGTGTTTCTACCATACTTGTTGTCAAGACCTGTCATCCTACATGGTCCCACAATATCTGACACACCATTAATACTGTAGCTTCATATACAGGTTAGCTAACCTTTTGCAGAAGCTTCTGTGGAGAGGTTTCCAAGATGAACGTCATAATGTAGACATTGACGAAGGTGGCCATTAAGTACTGGCAATCAAAGCGGTCCATCATTCCACCGTGACCAGGAATCACATCACCAAAGTCCTGCAAGTGTACAAAAGTCTCACTCAAGGAAATACTACTTACATTCAAAAAAGCAGTAATGCTGAAAGGTGCTATAGAAGATACTTAACCCCTTGACTGTCGCAACCCCCAATCCTGAGGTCTCTCCTGGCGTCGCAAAATTTCCAAAAAAAAAAAAAAAAAAAAAAATAATTTTTTCTTATGAAATGATAGAGAATCTTTTCCCGATTTTAATGACAACAAAAGAACAAAATTTGATGGAAAACTGATGTAATTACGCTCTCGCGAAGTTAGCAACCTCGGCAATATTTACAAATCAGCGATTTCGCCCACTTTGAGCCCTATATTTGGTTAATTTCGTTGTTCCAGTCGACCAAACTCATAGCTATTTCTTTAGAACTCCATTTTTTCTATCGATTGAGTACAAGAAACTGCCCATTTACTGATTTCAACTACCCAATAACGTTGTCAGAAATTTGCAATTTGGCCAATTTCATGAAAATTAAAAAATATGACAATTTCAAAATAAGGTCCAGAATGAACATTGCAGACATTCCTGGCTCTAAAATGACATTTTCTTTGTTCATCAGTCACGTCTCCAGGCCCCTCTGATATTACTCTAGCTCTCTAATTTGAATTTTTATTCAAACAAAAAATAGAAGATTTACTGTTATGCAGACTACTGCAATATTGTAATAATTGTACAAACAATGTCAACCCATTCATGACTGCATATCAGAATGGCTACTTGGACATTTATTGGAAAATGACATCATTTGATTACTTTTGAACATCGGCAAAAATCAAACATTTCCCCTAATTTGAGCTCTATTTCAAGGTTCTTTCCATAGTAAAACCAATCAAAATCACCTCTATTTCTAAAATATGTTTTCCATTCTATCAAATGAGACCAAGAAAATGAGAATACAACCATAAATACTACACGAAAATAGACCACAAAGTCGGCATTTTAATTAAAAAAAAACTGTCGGAGTTTTTTTTTTCTCATTATGCACTACGTGCTGCAGGACTTTTTTTATATGGTGCACACTGACCACAGATAGTTTAATATGTTTATTATGCACCCCATACCCATCCTGTGGGCGGTAGTCAAAAGATTACAGAGGTACATAATTGGTCCAGGGACTGGACTCCAAAGTTTTGATAGCTGAGCAAGTTACAGAGGTAATGAACTCACAATTTACAAAGGTAATGAACTCACAATTTACAAAGGTAATAAACTCAAGGTAAGTCTGGTCACAATCATGACAAGTTACAAAGGTATTTACAGATTACAGAGGTACGTAATGGGTCCAGGGACTGGGCCCCCAAAGTTTTGATAGCTGAACTAGGTACGAAGGTAATGAGCTCACAAGTTAAAAAGGTAATGAATTCTGTAGAATGGTTACTTACGTTATACTTTGGCTACAATCATGAACAAATTATAGAGTAATGAGCAATTCACACTTCCACACCCGGTCACAACTGTAATGAGTTATTGGTGCAAATATTGATTGTTGAGTCACAAACACCACACACACCACACACTGACCACAGAGACCCATTCTCTCACATGTGGGCCTACCAGCTTTCTCCTGCTTGATTTGAAGCTGCTAGAATTTGAGCATATATACGTCAAACACGGTGGCTCGTAAGACGTATATATATGACCGAAACAGTCAAATGGTTAATGCAGTGAAGTCTTTAATGGTACAGTGTTTCACTCACAGGTGGACTATATCATGTATTGATAAAAACCCTCTAGTGGGTGAAACTTTGCACAATTAAAGACTTCTTTTTTTTTTTTTTTCTCAACAAGTCGGCCATCTCCCACCGAGGCAGGGTGACCCAAAAAAGAAAGAAAATCCTCAAGATGAAAATACTTTCATCATCATTCAACACTTTCACCACACTCACACATTATCACTGTTTTTGAAGAGGTGCTCAGAATTTCGTACAACAGTTTAGAAGCATACACATAAAAGATACACTACATATCCCTCCAAACTGCCAATATCCCAAACCCCTCCTTTAAAGTGCAGGCATTGTACTTCCCATTTCCAGAACTCAAGTCCGACTATATGAAAATAACCGGCTTCCCTGAATCCCTTTACTAAATATTACCCTGCTCACACTCCAACGATCGTCAGGTCCAAGTACCATTCGTTCTCCATTCACTCCTATCAAAACACGCTCACGCACGTTTGGGCTGGAAGTCCAAGCCCCTTGCCACAAAACCTCCTTTACCCCCTCTCTCCAACCCTTTCAAAGACGACCCTACCCTGCCTTCTTCCCTATAGATTTATATGCTTTCCATGTCATTCTACTTTGATCCATTCTCTCTAAATGACCAAACCACCTCAACAACCCCTCTTCTGCCCTCTGACTAATACTTTTATTAACTCCACCCTTTTCCTAATTTCCACACTCTGAATTTTCTGCATAATATTTACACCATACATTGCCCCTTTAAAAAGGACAGCTCCACTGCCTCCAACCGTCTCCTCGCTGCTGCATTTACCACCCAAGCTTCACACCCATTAAGGGGTGTTGGTACTTTCTATACTTTCATACATTCCTTCTTTGCCTCCATAGATAACGTTTTTTTGACTCCACATTTTACCTCAACGCACCACTCACCATTTTTCCCTTATCAATTCTATGATTAACCTCATCCTTCATAAATCCATCCGCCGACACGTCAACTCCCAAAGTATCTGAAACATTCACTTCTTCCAAACTCCTCCTCCCCAATTTGGATATCCAATTTTTCTTTATCTAAATCATTTGATACCCCCTCATCACCTTACTCTTTTCTATGTTCACTTTTCAACTTTCTACCTTTACACACATTCCCAAACTCATCACTAACCTTTTTCATTTTTCTTTAGAATCTCCCCATAAGTACAGTACCATCAGCAAAGAGTAACTGTGTCAATTCCCATTTTGAATTTGATTCCCCAAAATTTAATCCCACCCCTCTAACGAACACCCTAGCATTTACTTCCTTTAAAACCCCATCTATAAATATATTAAACAACCATGGTGACATTACACATCCCTGTCTAAGACCTACTTTTACCGGGAAGTAGTCTCCCTCTCTTCTACACACCCTAACCTGAGCCTCACTATCCTCATAAAAACTCTTCACAGCATTTAATAACTTACCACCTATTCCATATACTTGCAACATCTGCCACATTGCTCCTCTATCCACTCTATCATATGCCTTTTCTAATCCATAAATGCAATAAAAACTTCCCTACCATTATCTAAATATGTTCACATATATGCTTCAATGTAAACACTTGATCTACACATCCCCTACCCACTCTGAAACCTCCTTGCTCATCCACAATCCTACATTCTGTCTTACCTCTAATTCTTTCAATTATAACCCTCCCGTACACTTTTCCGGGTATACTCGGTAAACTTTTTCCCCTCTAAAATTTTTTTACAGTCTCTTTTGCCCCCTTTCCCTTTATATAAAGGGACTATACATGCTCTCCGCCAATCCTAGGTACCTTCCCTCTTTCATACATTTATTAAACAAAGTACCAACCACTCCAACACTATATCCCCCCCTGCTTTTAAAAAATTTTTTGTCATGATCCCATCAGTTCAGCTGCTTTACCCCTTTCATTCTACGTAATGCCTCACTTACCTCCCCCACACTTACATTCTGCTCTTCTTCACTCCTAAAAGATGGTAAACCTCCCGACCAAATGCATGAAATTACTGCCTCTCTTTCTTTCCCTTTAAAATTTAAAAGTTCCTCAAAATATTCTCGCCATCTACCTAATACCTCCATCTCCCCATACTAACTCCCCTACTCTGTTTTTAACTGACAAATCCATATTTTCCCCCAGGCTTTCTTAAATTGTTTAACTCCAAAATTTTTTCTTATTTTCATTAAAATTTCTTGACAGTGCCCCTCCTACTCTATCATCTTTCTCTCCTTTTGCATTCTCTCACACTCTCTTTACCTTTCTTTTACTCTCCATATACTCTGCTCTTCTTATAACACTTTGCCCTTTTTAAAAACCTCTCATAAGCTACCTTTTTCTCTTTTATCACACCCTTTACTTCATTCCACCAATCACTCCTCTTTCCTCCTGCCCCCCACCCTCCTATAACCACAAACTTTGCCCCACATTCTAATACTGCATTTTTAAAAATATTCCAACCTCTTCAACCCCCTCCCCCCTACTCATCTTTGCACTAGCCCCCCTTTCTGCCAATAGTCACTTATATCTCGCCCGAACTTCCTCCCCCTTAGTTTATACACTTTCATCTCCCCTTACTTGTTGTTGCCTCCTTCCTCTTTTCCCATCTACCTCTTACTCTAACTGTAGCTACAACTAAAAAAATGATCCAATATAAACAGTTGCCCCTCTATAAATATGTAATCCTGGAGCCTACCAAACAACCTTTTATCCACCAATACATAATCTAATAAACTACTTTCATTATGTGCTACATCATACTTTGTATATTTTTTTAAATCCTTTTTTCATAAAAAATGTTTACTTATTACCAAACCTTTCTACACATAGCAAAATTTTACAAAAACCCCCTGGCCCCCCAAAATTTTCCCCTACTATTTCCCTCCTTAATTTTTTTTTCCCACTTTAGCATGAAACCCCAAACCCAAACCTTTAAACTCCACACTTGATTCAAAACCCCCCACACATTCACTTAACATTTCCCAAAAATTTAAACCTAAATAAATTAAACAAAATTCAAACTTCCCATATTTTTTCCCTCAAATTTTTTTTTATTTTATTATCACCCCGGGCCGATTCCCCCCAAGGGGCCAGGGGGGCCCCCGAAAAAGAAAAACTTTTAAAACCATAAACCCACCCCATCACTGTCTTGCCAAAAGGGGTGTTTTTCACTCCCAGTTTTTAAACTGAAACATTAACCCCCTCCTTCAGAGTGAGGCACTGTACTTCCCATTCCAGGACCAAGTGGGCCCCTCCCTTTTTCCCCTAATCCCTTCATAAATTTATTTTGCTCACACCCCAAAACCACCCAACGTAAAAGTTTTAAAAAACCTTTTTTGTCTCCATTAAACCCCTATCAAACACGCTCACGCATGCCTGCGGGAAAAGTCCAAGCCCCTCGCACACAAAACCTCCTTTCCCCCCTCCCCCCAAACCCCTTCCTGGCCGCCCCCAAAACCCCCCCTTTCCCTTTCCCAAACTACAGACGATACCCTTGAAGTCTTTCCTGTTTCGCCCCCAATTCTCCTACATGCCCCAACCCACCTCAAAAACCCTTCCTCACCCCCTCTGGACACTTTTTTTGGTAATCCCGCCCCCTCCTAACTTCCAAACTACGAATTCTTGCATTATATTCACACCACACATTGCCCCCAAAATTACATCTCCACTGCCCCCCCCTTTCCCCCTCCCCTGAAACCCATTCATCACCCACGCTTCACACCCATTTAAGAGCGTTGGTAAAACATACTCTCAAAATTTCCCCCTCTTTGCCCCCCAAGGACAAAGTTCTTTGTCCCACAACTCCTAAGGGGCACCACTCATTTTTTTTTTTTCCCTAAATTCAATTCTATGTTTCCCCTCATCTTTCATAGACCACCCCCGCTGACACGTCCACCCCCAAAAATATCTGAATTACATTACCTCCTCCATACCTCTCCTCCAATCTGATTTTCAATCTTTCTCACCTAATTTTTTTGTTATCCTCAAAACCCTTACTCTTTCCTGTTTTCCATTTTTAATTTTCTTCTTTTCCCAACCCCTAAAAAAAATTCTTTCCCCAATCTCTGCAATTTTCTTTTCAGAACCCTCCCAAGGGGAAAACAGTGTCATCAGCAAAGGCAGCTGGGGACAAAATCCCACTTTGTGTGTGATTCTTTTTTTCTTTTAACCCCAAACGCCTCTTCCAAGACCCTCGCTTTTTACTTCTCTTAAAACCCCATCATAAATATATTAAAAAACCCGGTGAAAATCCAAACATCCTTGTCTAGGCCTACCTTTACGGGGAAAAAAATTTTTTCCTTTTCCTACATACTCTAATTTTTGAGCTCACTTTCCTCTTTTAAAAAACTTTTCCACTGCTTTCAGAACCTCCCTCCTAAAACCTACCCCGGCAACATCTCCCCACTTTCCCCCCCACCCCCCGTCATATGTTTTTTTCCAAATCCATAAATGCCAAAAAGACCTCTTTGCCTTATTTAAAACGTTTCTTATATTTTTCCCACTGTAAACACCTGGTCCACCCCCCCCCTTACCTTTCCTAAAGCCCCCTTGTTCATCTGCATCCTATTCCCCCCTTTTAACTTTTAAAATTCTTTCAATTTTTAAACTCAACCATACCTTTACCAGGTACACCAACAGACTTACCCCCCTTTATAATTTTTGCACTTTTCTTTTTATCCCCTTTCCCTTTTATAAAAAGGGGAACAAACATGCTCTTTTCCCCCAATCCCAAGGTCCCTTTCCCCTTTCCCCTTTACATTTATTAAAAAATTTGCCCCCAAACCCACTCCAAAACTATATCCCCCTGTTTTTAAAAACTTTTTCATCTTTACCCCCCCAACAACCCCGGGGCTGCCTTCCCCCCCTTTCTTTTTTCCCCTACTCCCCTCACGAACTTCCCCCCCCCCAAACTGGCTCTTCCTCACTCCTAAAAAGATGTTTTTCCTCCTTGCCCTTTTCACAAAATCACAGTTACCTATTTCTTTCAACTTTTTAACAATTCCTCAAAATTTCCCTTTCCATCTTCCCCCAAAAACCTTAACTCTCCATTTAAAAAACTCCCCTTCCTATTTTTAACTGCCAAATCCATTTTTTTCTCTAGGCTTTTTTACTTTTAACCCTCACCCAAAACTTTTTCTTTTTTTTCAAAAAAAATTTGTTGAAACATCTCCCCCACCTCTCTTTTGCTCTTTTTTTACATTGCTTCACCCTTTTTTAACTTCTTTTCTTTTTCCCCAAAACTTTTCCCCTCCTTGAAACCCATTTATTTTGTAAAAACTTCTCATATGCAAATTTTTTTTTCCCCTTCCTACTCTCTTTACATCATCTTTTCCCCCAAATTTCGCTCCTCTTCCCCCTGCACCCATTTTTCCTGAAACCCACAAATTTGCTAAACCCACTCTAACACTACTTTTAAAAAAACCTACCCCATACCTCTTCGCCCCCAATTGGGCCTTGCTCTCATTAGCCCATCTATCCCCCAAATTTGTTTTTTATATCTACCCTAACTTGCCCCCTTTTATTTTAAAAAAACCTTCCCCTTCTTTTCCCGATGCTTCTATTCCCCCTTGAAACCCATCTCCCTTTTACTCTCTGTTACTACAACGGGGAAAGGATCGGATATACTGGGGCCCCTCTAAAAAAAATGCACCCTGAAGCTACTCAACGTCTTTTATCTACCAATACCTAATCCAACAAACTACTGTCATTTCGCCCCACCCTCATACGTGAAAACTTATTTTTCCTCTTTTTTTTTAAAAAGTTTACCCAATTTTTTAAAAAACCCCCCTTTTAAAACAAAGTTCAAACAAAGGGCTCCCCATTTTTATTTACCCCCGGCCCCCCAAAAATTTCCTACCACCCCCTCCTAAAAGTTTTTTTTCCTACTTTAAAATTCAAGTCCCCTACCACCAAAAAACTCTCTCCCCCTTGGTTTTTAAAAGGGTCCTAAAAACATTCACTTTAAAATCTCCCCCAAAAACTCTCTCTTTCCCCTGCAATTTCCCCTCTTTTCCAGGTGCAAACACGCTTATTATGACCCACTTCTCGCATCCAACCCTTTACTTTAATCCACATAATTCTTTAATTTACACTTTTTTATTCTCTTTTCTCCTTTTAAAAAATGATCATTTAACATTACTGCTACCCCCCTTTCCCTTTTCTCTAAATCTCTCAGATACTCCGATTTAATTTCCCCTTTATTTCCCCCCCCTGAAAATCTCCACCCCCCTTTAGCTTTGTTTTGGGTTAGGGCCAGGGGCAACCAAATTTTTTTATTCAAAACTCAGCAATCATCTGTTTCTTTTTTATCCCCACTACATCCACGCACATTTTAAAACCCAACCCCTTTTATAAAGTTTTTTTTTTTTCTCTTTTTTAGTAATTGTATACAGGGAAGGGGTTACTGCCCCTTGCTCCCCCGGCCCTTTTTGTCGCCCCAAAACGACAGGCCCTGGTTAGGGGGAAAGATTCTTTTTTCCCCTTCCCCCTGGACAAAAGAAAAAAAAAAAAGAACAAGAGCTATTTTGAAAAAAAGGGAAAAAAACCCAGATTTATGTTATATAAATGCTTTTGGTGTTTTGTTTAGTTGACCCAAAATGTAAAATAGGGGACAAGATATCCCTGTTTTTCTTAGGTGTTTATGGAAAAAGAAAAAAAACCGCAATCCCCCACCATCATGCAAAACAGTTTTCAGGTTTTTGTTTCAAAAGTCATTGGCAGGACGGTAGAAATTCCTGGGTGGTTGCTGTTAAACCAAAAACCCACAAATATAGTAACAAAAAGTTAAGCAATTATTGTAACATATTTACTTTGGGACCCGGGCCCCCCCTCAGAAATTTTCAGACCCAACACAAATTCTAAGCCCGTTTTAAAAACCCATAAAAACAATACAAAATTTTCAAAAAGTTTAAGAAAAAGTCCCAAAAACTTTTAACCCTAGGGGAGGACTTACCTTTAATTTTTTAAAAGCTTCCCTTTAAAACCAAATAGCAAAGAAACCCCCAAAAGGACCAATCCCACTATGAAAAAGAGAGGTGCCACTGAGGGCACACAAAAGGATACATTGTTATGGGGCCTTTTTCCAAACCCAACTGAAAAAAAAAAAAAGACTTCTGACCCCCGTTTTCATTTCATGAAATATATTGAAAAAATAGATGAAATACAAGAAAAAAATTTATACCAAAAATAAGTGGAAATACCTAGCACTTTGCATGCCACACACCACACACACACACTTTTTTTTTTTTTACACAGGGTTTTACCCAAAGGGAAAGGGTTAAAAGGGAAACCCTAGCTTTTTTGACAAGCTATTTACAGGTTAAAGGGTTTTTAAAAATTTTTTGGCAAAACTAAAGCTGTTACCCTACATCAGCTCATTTGAAAAGCATTCTTATTTTTTTGAGGGAAAACAATAGGGAACAAAGGGTGAAGTTTTGGGGCCAAACTTTTGGGCCAGCATTTTCATTTGGGTCAACTGACTTTATCTCGTTTTTACTTTATTTTGCTGTACGAAATTTTGTTCCAACTGAGTCATCCCGTGTATATTTTGATTCAGATGGGGTGATGTTTTTTGGGGAAGGGGACAGGCCAGAGTAAATCGCTGCTTTTTGCCCGTCTTGTGCATAAAAGCTTGGGTTTTACGCTGTTTCCCCGAAGTGGTTTAAAGTGTCGGTTTCTTTTAAATAAAATTTTGGGCCCTTTTACATAACAGTTTAAAGGCCCCCCCACATCCCGCCTGTGTTTAAATTTTTTGCTGAAATGAAGATCTATCCAGGATGGGGGCCAGGAAGAGAGAGGGCATCTTGCTCTGTTTTCTCTTTCAAGTAGTTTCAGATGAGAGGGGGGGGCAGGGAAAAACCCAAAGGTGGAGCATACTCAAAGGGGTGAGCGACTTTTTTTCCTTTGTACAGAAAACTTGAAACCCCCAATGTCAACAGATGTGTTAAAGGTGAAGTGCTGTAAGCTTCCTGGCCCGCCCTTTTGCAAGATTTAAAAACGGGTTTTTTTCATGGTTTTTAAATTTGGGGGTCTAATTTTTACCCCAAGGATATCAAAAATTCTTCTCCAGGTGCCCAAAAACCCTCCCATTATCCTTACACGGGAAACCCGCATTAAACCCTCATGGTGCCCCAAGACATTTATCATTTGCATTTTCTCAGGGGGCAAATGTTACTTGCCATCTAAATTTCCCCCCCGCTGAAATATCTCTTAGTGGGGATTGATGTTTCTTTTGAGCAGCTGGCATTTCTTTCTTGGGGGAAGTGAATGTCAGTGTCAGTTGGGCTGCATATGCTTGGGGTTCTGGGGTGAATGGAAAGGGAAAGGGCGTTGAAGTAAACATTCCTTTAAAAATGGTCCCAGCACCTTCCTTGTGGAACCTTTTCCCCCAAAAGGATTCCCTTTTTGATTCCAATTTCCCTTGAGAAAAACCTTAGAGGTTTTACCTGAAATTTAATTTAAATGAAGAACATAGGGGGTTTTTGCCTGCAATTCCCCCGTGCCTTTTAAGTTTTGCCTAAAAAGGGGTGTTTTCGTACAGGGGGCCCCTACCCCTTTAAACCTGTTTTAAAACCCTTTTTTTTGCAACAAATAAAAGGATTGAATATCCTGTTCTAGTTTAAATCGTTCAAAAATTCAGTAGTAAAAAATCACAATGTTTCTTTTTCCCCCTTTTTTTTTTTAAGTTTCCCTTTAAAAAACCCTAGAAGGGTTTTATATTAACTTTAAAAAAAGGGCGCAAACCCTTTTAAAAAAAAGTACTCATGAAAAATTTACACTTAAGTTCACTTTAAAAAAATAAACACAGTATTTCTTGTTTTTTTGTACTGAAAAAGGCTCTAGAAACATAAAACCCTTTTCTTCACATAATAAAAACTTTACTTAAAATCAATCCAAATGAGACCCGAAAAAGTAACACTTCAATAATTTAAATTTACTCTTATCAAACTTTTCCCTTTAAAATATTTAAATGAGAAAAGGAATACTTTACCAAATTAAAGGAAAATTTTTTTAGGCGAGTCTGTCTCCCCTGACTTTTTCACCGTCCTCTTTGAACCAATAAGCTTTAAATTCACTCCTAGCAGGGTTGGGGAAAAATCCCGGTCCCCCAAAAAAAGCAACACACCCCTTCGTTTCCGGGGGAAGTTTCTGTCAGAAAACCGCGAAAGGGACTGGAGGGGCACTAGGGGAAACCCCATGAGGGGGCCAGAAGTTTAAAACCCGGAATCAGGGGGCTTCCCTCACGAGGGTGAGGAAGGTAAAAACTGGGAAATCGTGGGCTTTTCCACCCACTTTTCCCCGGTCCCGGAAAAGGGGTCGGCAGCCCCCAAAAACAAATACTGGGGCTTGGCCCGGTCACCCGCATTTTACACTAATTAAGGGGCCTACCTAAAAACAAAGCTAAGTAATCCCACCCAAAAATATTAAAAGTCATGTAAATCCATTTTCTACTAATGGAATTACTCTTAATATAAAAATTAAGTGAAATAGCAAAAATAACATGTAATAGTATACCATTGTGATAAGAAGAAAATTAACAAAATGAACAAAAGGGTGTAACAGAGGCCTTGGTGACACACACAAAACACACACACACACACACACACACACACACACACACACACACACACACACACACACACACACACACACACACACATACATTCTCATTCTCATTCTCTCTCTCATTCTCATTCTCTTCTCTCATTCTCTCTCTCATTCTCATTCTCTCTCTCATTCTCTCTCTCATTCTCATTCTCTCTCTCTCTCTCCTCTCTCTCTCATTCTCTCTCTCTCTCATTCTCTCTCTCCTCTCATTC